GAAACGCTGTAAGTCGAGGACGTCGTAAACCGAGGACCCTCTGTATCTGTCTCTGTCTTTTCCTTTCAGCCATGTTTTTATGGTGCTTTTTTGTTTGTTTGTTTTTACAGATAGCCGACATCGCTCTACGTTATCATTCCTGTAACAACAGCCACACCAGTGAGGACAGGACCTTGACCTCTGACCTCCTGTGCTGTCAGTCACTCCTCCTGCCACAGTCCAGGACACACGTCTGTGAGGTGTGTCTCAGCAGGTCAGGACCGAGACTCACCAGCTCGTCCGTACGCTGCACGTTCCCTGCCACGGCTCAGGACGGACGCACGCCGCAGTCCGTTCTCCGACACTGCTGCCTTAACCAAACGCCAGTCCCGGCGTCCACAGATACCGAAACCTCATTGGGCTGCAGCAACGTCCTGGACGGCTACAGCCCGTTCACTCAGTACAGTGCCTGCTGCAGAACAGTGGAACCTCAACTCGTCGACTCACAAACCAAAGAGGAGCTGGACGCGGAAAACCCGTCTCCCTCGCCGCCGCCGCCACCGTCTCTGTCCACAGAGCCGTCCTCTGGAACGCAGCAGGGAGACGGCGGCTTCACGGGGCTCCGCTGTCAGACCAACAGGACGCTGAGGTTTTATTTACTGGACGTTGATCTGACCTGGCCTCTGGCAGTCAGACTGGGGGCGGCAGGGAACCGGACCGCTTTACTCCACCAGGAGGCGGGTTCACCGGCTGACGGCAGCGACTCACGCTCATTCGCTGCTATCGTGAATCTGAAGGACGAAATTCATTATGTCCTTCACCGCAACCCGGCGACCACACTAACAGACTCCCTAGGTAAGACTACTGTACAGTGTGTGTGAGATGAATTTTTGCAGCTGGGTTTTTAAAAATAAAAATCAATTTTAAACAGATAAAGATGATGTTAACATCCAGCTGCTGTGGTAAAAAAAAGTCTCAGAAATCTCCCAGATTTATTTATTTATTTAAAGGCTTAATGTGAAACATTTCCTGAAAAACTGATCTGTGTTCTTGGTGTCTGTGTCTTAAAGAAACCTTCATCAGGAATTTCAGCGCTCCGTACAGTCTGTTGGAACGACACTTGGTCGGAGACAACAAGAGGACAGGAAGTGAAAAGACTGAACAGACGGAGACCAGGAGTGGACCACTCATCAAAGAGCTGACCACCGCGTCCTTCATGCCCTCCATCATGGACCTCACAAAGGTCAGTGGAGTCGACCTGACGCCACAGTCAGACACCTAGTGGTAATCCGAGGGATTACCACTAAAAGTTCTATCTATCAATTAGAACGTATTTAAATTTATTATAAGAAACTCTGAGTGTTTGAAATGGTTGTTAAAAACAGATTTTTGGAAAAGACTTCTGTACAACTGAGCTGGACTCACAGAGTGTGTGTGTGTGTGTTTTGGTGTGTGTTTCGGTGTAGGACGTGCTGGTGTTTTATTACACACAGTGGTGTGGATTCTGCTCCGTCCTCAACCACGTCATAATCCAGCTGGCCAGATTATTACAGGGGAACCGCAGCATCACCGTGACCAGGTAACTGTGACAAACGCTGCAGTGTTTTCACGACGTTGATGTGTGTCAGATGAGGAGTGAGATGATGAAGAACTAACTCTGAAATGTCTTCTCTGTAGGGTCAATGTCGCCCGCAACGACCTTCCCTGGGAGTTCATGGTGGACCGCGTCCCCTCCATTCTTATTTTCCCCAGATACAGGTGAGTCGTGATCACACGCTGGAGGGAAATATGTTGTACGTTTTATTTTTTCTCTTTCTTTTGAGTCGTGATCACACGCTGGAGGGAAATTTGTTGTTCGTTTTATTTCTCTCTTTCTTTCTTCCTTTCTTTCTGACGTCACGTTGATGTTTGTCCTGTTGGTTCTAAACTTTTTCTTTCGGTAAAAATTGAATTTTTTTTTACTTCTTTTTTTCTTTTTAAAGAAAACATTTTAGCGTGAAGTTTCCAGAAGATCTTCAGATCACGTTACCGAACCTCCTCCACTTCATCTTGAAACATTCCGACTCTGTTCGCGATGCGAACAAACCAGCGTCCTCCTCCGAGGCGAACGGTTCAGGAGCCAGCACGATCCTCCGTGCCGAGGTCCTGACGCTGCAGCGTGAAGTTCAGCTCCTCCACCAGGCGCGTGAACGTCTCTCTGAACAACTGGCGCAGTTATGGCGCGACAACAGGCGTCTGACGTTCGACAGCCGCCACCTAGTGGCTCAGAATGAGGAGCTGCAGCGGGAGAGGCAAAGTTTGGAGGAGCAACACCAAGAGAAGAGCCGGCAGCTCGGAAAAGCCGTGAGACGTCTGCAGGCGCTGGCCGACACCTCCGAGCACCTCCTGAATGAAAACATGCTGCTCAGGGTCCTGTTGAGGGCGCTGAAGGAGAGGACAGAGGCCTGGGAGCAGGAGCAGGAGGAGGTGGAGGCAGAACAGAGAAGGAGTCACATGGCCTCCTGAAAAACCAAGAGTCAGGAGTGAAAACAAAGCTGTGATTGGTAGCATCTCAGAGCGACAACAAACTGACGATTTAACGTCGAACTCCAAAAGCAGCAACGACGCGGACATTTTTGAAAAGTTTCACTCAGAAGCAAAATGAAGCCTACTGCTGAGTGACAGGTAAAAGGAAACAGTTGCCGCAGAGCCGACAACAAATACGTCACAGTCTCGGAGTGCTGTGGTGATGGAGGACGTTCTCTTCATCACCAGCACGAAAATTAGTGCCAAGTGTGCGATTCATTTATAATTTATTAAATAAAACTGCAGCCAAATTTCTACCTTCTTTAAGGTAAAGAATAAATCATATCAAGTTTAAGTTTAAAACCAACACAAACACAATGGTGATAAAAGCACTGAGGACGAGGTTTTCACATCGAACCGGTCGTCCTGCTCCAGAGATAAAATTTGTAAAATAAAAAAAATCAATGTAAACGCTACGCTACGCTACATGAAGCAGCAGAACATTATTTCAGGTCGACCTTCTCGACCTCAGCACCATGTGGACTTTGCTATACTTTTTTTCCACCACTCCACCTTTGATATTTGACTGAGGCAGCACAAGTGCATCCTGTCATCTGGTCTGGATGCCACTTGATGTTGCTTTGCACTTGTTATGACATTTTGGTTTTTGACAAATTTCATTTAGGAGTGACACAACACACCGAGGTTTTAACGTTAGGCAGACGCAACCAACATTGCTCAGGTGACATTTTCACAATCTTATTTACGCCAAACCAATTTAAAATGAAACTGTTGAGCTACGCTGGTCCAGTCGGGGCTGTGGGACTGAGCCTGGTGCAGCCAACTCACCTATGATTCACGGTGGTTTGTTCACGATACGATTTCATCACGATATTTATTATTTTTCCAGTCAAACTGTGACCAAATCTACTGATCCTTTATCCATAAGAACTATGCAAATCCCATCACCGACTGAAATGGTCTGTGAACCATGTGTGAACAACTGACATTGTTCTCTTCAGTAACAAAAGAGAAACACTGTACATCAACATTGATCTGCTCAGATTAAACTGGTCAAACTGGTCTGGTCTGGTTGACCTGGTTAACTGTCAGTATATGAAACAACAACAGAAGAAGAAGAAACAGGAAGTGGAAAGAGTTTCTTTCTTTACAGAAACTCTGGAGAACGCAGGTTCTTCCCACGTTCTGTTTCTGTCCCTGAAAGCGTTTGGCTGCCAACTCCAAGGGCTAACGGCAACGGTTGAACCTGGTGTGTGTGTAAGAGCACTTGAAATAATCTCATTCTCTATTTTATTTATATGGAGTCAAAGGACAATTTGTGTTGTTTAACTCATTTAGACTCTTTGATTCCTCAAGTCACTGAAATATTATTTACATAATTGACAATATTCAGGTAATAAGAATGAGATGCTGCAACTGTTTACATGTGAGATGTTGCTCCACTTTTTAATGATTAAAAATCTTCTTAATTGTTTGCCTGTGTTTCAGCTGGTGTTCAGTATACACACACACACACACACACACATTTCAAATACAGATACAATCTATAAATGCTGCTAAGGATTTAGCATGTGCTTGATGTTAGCATGTGCTTGATGTTAGCTCATTTCCATTAGCTCTCCTGTCTTGTGGTCCAAAATGCAAAACTCACCAGACACTTCCCTGTTGTAGCTGGAAACAAACCAGCTTTGGTTCAGTTTTATTGGGTTAAAGTCTGAAACACATCCAGTGTTGGTGCAGTTTTTGTTTATTTTAAAAACTGCAACCAGGAAAATGATACATTTTAATGACGACATCATTGAATAATCTTGATTTATTGATCTTTTTTTATACGGATCTGACAAATATATAGAAATGGCATTTTGTAATGATACAAGAAAGTGCTTTTTCAGAAGAATCACGGATGATGTCGTAAACACATCAACTTCATTTGCAGCCTTCATATCAAATACATGTAAGATACAAGTACAAAGCGTAAAAGTGCTTAAATATATATATATATATATATAATAGCAAAATTTGTTCCAAATAGTAAATAATGGCAACAATTCAGTAAAGGAGTAAAATATTTGTTTCATGCCGTTGACTTTTATCATAAGAAAGCTGTAATAATGGTAATATGTTGACTAACGTCTGACACTGCGTCATCACCTTCATATCTTTCAGAGAATATTTACTTCTATCAGATATAAACGAAAACAGTGTTTGTTCCTCTTTAACTTCTCACGATCATTAATTTCCAGAACCCTCGGCGTTCGACCTGGTTCTTCACACAACAAGGTGCTGAGCCGTGACGAAGAGCACGGAGAGGAGGAGGAGGAGGAGCGAGAGGCCAGCGTTCGCACGGATTTCTAAAGTGGAAAGAGAAAAGATAAGTTCAAGCTCTGTGGCTCTTAACTTCCTCCAAGTTGCAAATGTCTTTATTTTATTTTATTTGCGTGTGTTGTTTATTTTTGAATTACTATTTTGAATTTCAAACTCGTGTTCGTGTGAACATGTCTGCTTAGTAACTAGAAACTAGAAGCTGATTGGTGGAGACTTCCGCTGGTTGTCAACGATAAAGATGGCGCTTAGCGTCCTTTAGTTCCGTTCCTTTCGTGGGCATTTTTTCAGCTTTTGTCAGGAAGACGTTGCTCTTTTTTTTTTTTTTTACTTATTTTTTCTGTACTGATCGTGGCTTTAGAGCACATACAAAAAGACAACACAAAAACAAGTAGCTGATTGGTGGACACTCTCAATTAGTAGCAGCAGCGACCAATCAGTGCACTCGTTAATGTAAAGTCCATGATAATTACCAGCAGCAGACAGCTATTGTCCTTGATTTGTTTGGCCTGACGTAATTTCCTGCTTCTAAAGCCCTTTAACGGATATAGATGAGCTTTGGTCACAGTATGGTTTTTTTAAAATATATATTTGTAGTGGATAATGTCAAGCTAATTGAAGTAAATTAAGTATAAGTCCAGGATGCTAGTGTACTGATGTTAGTTACTGTTAGAGCTAACGTCGAGAAAAGACAAAATAATGAAAACCCAACTGACTGTGACATTACTACAGTAAAGTAAAGCAGTGTAAAAAGTGTGTCCTCACCTGTAGAAGAACTTCCTGCCGTAGTTCCAGAAGGAGTAGTGCCTCCTCCTCCTCCTCCTCCTCCTGCCGTAGTTTGTCCTGCTGCACCCGGTGTTGTTGCCGGGTCAGCCTTACCTCCTGTAATTCCCAGTCCCAGAGTGTCCAGATCTGACTGGTACCGACTGGTGATCCAGCTGTTTACCTTGGTTTGGTTCTCATAGGACTTTAACTGATCCACGTTGGAGCCGAGGAGCGCTTTGACTTCATCGACAGACAACGCCTGTTGGGAAGAAGGTCAGTTAGAAATAACACTTTACTATTACTTCTACCGTTGTTCCTTTACTAATATTTGTCTTAAACAAGTCACACGACAAACAGAAACACAATACAATCATCACATTTTCAATGGTCGTCTTTGAACTAAAACTACAAACTAAATCTGGGAGGGAGTCACACGACAAACAGAAACACAATACAAATAAATTCTAAATTCTAAATCTGGGAGGGAGGGGTTAGAAAAAAGAATACCACTGACCAGTATAACCGTCTCTTCCAGACCGATGAAAATAGACATGTCCATGTTGACTTCTGATTTCAGCAAACTTTTAATATATTGCAAATCGGCTCCACCTACAGGATAGAAGAGACAATGCTCAATAACGTCATGGGGTGTCTTTTCAAATGACCGGGTTAAAGTGATCTTTCTACATTGAAAACTCTGAATATATATTTACTACTTTGATCAAATGGCACAATACTGTCTGACTCAGTACTTCTACGGTAGCTCTGCTCATCTTTTTGTACGGTCAACAACAACAATGACAACTAGTACCTGTGACCAGGTGCTGGTTAGTGCCGTGGTTAGAGGATTTCACCTGGTCTGAGATAATTCCATATTATCTTGGTTTGACTTTTTTTTTTATAAATTGTTAGGTCATTTATAAGAACTTTCTTCACTATGTCATGTGACCTCCTGGTCAAACTTTAGGTTATGTTTTTTTGATGTTAAATATAGTCATTGTGTGTGTGCCTACCAGTGTAGGACTTCAGGAGCTGGTACGATGACACAGGCTCAGTACTACGCGTGGTACTTGTGAAGGCCAGCTTAGCCGTGTTGAACAGAACTTTCTTCTGCTCCGCGGTGCAGTTGGACAAATCCAGAGCATCTGCTTCTCTGTGACGAAGAAACACAATCAGAGTCAGAGAGCGCTGTGCTGGTAGAACATGGTAGAACTTTCCTTCATTTAAAGTAACATTTATACGTAAATGTTAATGACATTAAGAGCGGTGTGGCTAAAAAAATCATGTGGCGTTAAACATGGTAATAGCTATTCCACTGTGGCCCCTGAACCAAAATGAGTTTGACTCGGTTGATCTTTTCTGAACTTCAAATTGCTAAATGATGCAGTTGCTATGGTAACTGTGGCTCTGAGTTCTCACTTGATGCTTTGTTGAGAAATAGTCTGGAGAACGTCAACGTCCAGAGAACACAGGTTGGTTCCTCCGATGGTGTTGAGCTCTGCACTGCCAAGTTGATTACCTTCTGTGCTCAGGTACTTAGAGATGACCTTCATCTGGAGGAGAAAAAACCACATGGACCAGGGAGTTGTTAGTTAACACACACACACACACACACACACACACAGAATGAGTTGCTCACCAGGCTGGGGTCCCACTCCCCATCTTCAGGATCCATCAAACCAGAGAGCGTGTCGATCTGTGTGATGGTCCACTTGTTGATCTGAGAGACGGTGGCCACGCGCGCCGCTGCGCCCAAGAGCTGAACCTGATCTTCAGGAATGGAAGAGCTGGAGGCGTAGGCCTGAAAGAGAAGTGATGGAGTGAAGAAGGGCTTCCTGACATTCTGTCATCATCAGACCAGTATCAGGTTCTACAGTTCAACCCTGTGGTGGTTCTGCCAGTATCAGGTTCTACAGTCAGGTGCAACATTGTGAGAACCAAAAATGACGCAGGTTCTACAGTCAGGTGCAACATTGTCAGACATGAGAACCAAAAATGACTAAGAAGAAACTAAAGAGTGTTTTTTTCTCATCTGTTATCGACGTGACGTCTAACAGTTTCCCACGTACCTCGTACAACTTGCTGAGAACAATCCGGAGTCGTTCTTCTTCGTCCACCGTTTCAGTGATGGCCTGCAGGTTGTCTTTGACCACGGTGGCCGTCAGGCAGGCGTTAAACTGAGCGTCATCGTAGAGGAGGGTGAAGGCATTGTCGTTGACCGTCACTTGGGTGATGTTTCCCACAGTGCACTCCTCCGCTGAAACACATGTGGGTTTAAAGTTTTAGTACGTAAAAAAAAAACTGCAAAAAACAACAAGGTGATGAAGAAAGGGAGACTGACCTAAAGACCTTTTGTCTTTTTTGCGGCCACGCATCATTTTCTTCATCCTCTTCCTCCTCTTTCTGCCAACGTCTTTCTTTTTATAGATTTTCAGAAACTTCTTCAGGAAATAGTATTTTGTTTTCTGCTCAGAATAAGGAGAAGAATGAAATGTGAGATCGGAAATATTAACCGGCAGCCTTGTAGAGTTGTCACTTTCCTGCTGCCAGGTGGCGCTCACCTTGTCAAATTTATCAAAGAAGTCGGAGTCCATGTACAGCGGCAGTATTTCCAGATTAGTCAGAGTTTCACCGTTCCACACAGACGGCTCCCTGATCAACACACGACATGGAAACATGAGTCGCTAACGAAGAAATCTGACCAGACAAATACTACAACTTCAGTGCTGCAGTACACATACCCATACTGCGTCTTCCCGCTCAGCAGCAGGTTCTGAACGGCTAACGCTTGTTCGTCACTGAGATCCGAACAGGTTTTAAGGACTTCCAGAATCTGAGGGTTGGAGTTCTGGATGTAACGCGGCTCCAGGAAGCAGCACATGTTCCCCAGGACCTTCACGCTGTCTTCACTCAGACTGGTGTTCGTTATGTCCTGTTCACAGCAGGTTTCCAGTTAGACAATGGATTTTTAAATTTGCATTTACAGCTCGTAATAAACAGCAGCGATGGTTTCCTTTCTAACTTCCTGCATCACTGACTCACCAGGCACTGCACTGCGTTGTCAAACAGTTTTCTACGTTTGTAGCTGAGGTCGTCAGAGAAGACGGAGAAATCTGCCTCCGACAGCTCTTCAAAATAAAACCTACATTTGTCCTTTGGCACCAGAGAGTAACTGTGGAACAACACAGAAGTACAACAAGTATTGTCCAGTACTGTCCTTCAGCTGATCATACAAACACAACGTACTCGTAGTAGAGCAGAACATCATGGGGGTAGAGTTGGAAGTCGGTGGCGTCGGATTCTCCCTTGATGTAGAAGAGCATGCAGGTCAGCTGTGGCAGGAAAAACAGGGGAAAAAAAGAAATCAAAATAAATCAATAAATATAAACCATAAAGTAGGGATGTCCGATGTTTTTGCCGATGTGTTGATAATGGCTAAACACTTGCAGCAGTGCTGCCATCTAGTGGCTTTCACCTTCATATACAGCTGTTTGTCCCCAAAACTATTTTTAGGACACGTCATTTGACAAAACCCAGACACTGCGTTATGAGGTATCATCTTTTTTTATACGATTCTTACATACATTCCATAATTATGCTAATATCGTCAACCCATATTATCGGACATCCCAGCATACACTGGGCTCGTCCAGTTCCTCACCTGACTCTCCACCAGTTTGACCTTCTTGGTCTTCTTGTCCTTCTTGCCTTTCCTTCGACAGGCTTTGACCAGCTTCTTCACCTTCACTTTCTTAACGTTCCTCACTCCAGTGCAGGTAAACCCTTGGAGCACATCGGATGACACGCTACACACACACAAACACACACACACACACACAAGGGTTAGCTGTGTGTGGAGTCCAAACACTGGAGTCCAGGGCAGGGGTCACTGACTTCTGTTCTCCTCCCAGCTCCTCCGTGACGTTTCCCACAGCGATGATGTTGAAGAACAGCTCAGCCTGACAGGAAACAAACCACACGTGTCGATGACCAGGCGGTTTGATGTGAAGACAGATGTTGTTCTCTCCCTGTTACCAACCTGCTGATGCTTCCATTTCTTCTTATTCAGCTTTTTGACAAAGTCCTGGTCCCCGGGGAAACCCAGCAGCAGGGGTCGAGGAATCTCAGTGGCCATTTCATCAGGGACGTTGACGATGAGACTCTGGCTGTCGCTGTTCACTGATATAATCTGTCACCAGACGGTTAAAAGAACAGAGTCAGTCATTTAAAACTAGGGATGTCCCATATTAACTTTGCCGATATCCATACTTTTTGCCGATATCTGATCTGCCGATTTGTCCAAACACTTCATTTGTGTTGTGATAACACGTGTCTAGGTTCAAACTAGGATTTGACTTTAGTCAGTAGTCTGCGCTGGAAAAACTTTTTTTTTAACATTTCTACACAGTATATTACAGTTACACAGAGGATGTGATACACAGACGCCACCGTGTGGCGCTGTTTCCTGCAGCAGAGATCACCACACCTGTGTGACGAAGATATTCTGAATGATCTGTGGAGCTGACATCAAGTAAATCAAGAACTGTGGGTTCTGAGAAGCCGTTATCAGCTGAGAACCGCTGATTTTGCCCATCGTGGAGGCGGGAACGCCGATGACCAGAGAGCCCAGCGTCAGCAGTGACTCCGAGTCGGCAATCTGGGACGAAGCAGAAGAGGAGGTGAGAACCTGAGGAAACGTCACCTTTGACCTCCTGTTCTGTCACACAGAGAGAGAGAACACTGACCTCAAACTTCCCCGAGGAGATCAGGAGCAGAATAAAGGCCTTGGCCTGACCCTCGTTCCACCCCGTGATGGAGCTGAGGGCGGACAAGGAAGCGATGAGGTCATCGGGCTTCATTTCCTTGATCTGACCCAACGACAGGCCGGTGCTTTCATTGCCAAGAGCAGCGATTGCTGTGGAGTCGATGCTGTTACCGAGGTTACTGGCCAAGGCTGCGGAGACCTGGGACACGTGCTCAGGGTTAGGCTGCTGCTCTGGTGTACAGCACTGGGCCGGAACATTCATCACATTATTATGGGATGGTGCTAATGTACCTCTGGATCCACGTCTGTACACACACTGGACAGGTTGTGCAAGACGGTCAGTGTTTCGTCTCTGTCCAGTTGGGTGAAGGCTTGACCAGGAGCAACACACTGAGGTACCACAGAGTTCTCAATGTTAACATCCTCAAAATATCATTACCAGTGCAATCAAGGGGGGTGAGAGAGAGAAATGATCTCATTTCAACATGTAAATCCATGGCTTGATGTTTCCGTTCTGTGAATTAAAAACCACAGAACATCAGGTCCAACTTACGGTAAGTTCTCAATGTTAACATCCTCAAAATATCATTACCAGTGCAATCAACATGAACCTGACAACTCTGTGCCTGTTAGCTGCAGCATTTGTTAGTTTGGTTCATCAGCTCCCCCTACTGTTACTGCTGCTGCTGCTGTTACTGCTGCTGTTACTGTTGCTGCCGCTGT